CCACAACAACAACCTGCGGGGGTTCAGCGCGGGAGAGGTGCCGGTCGCCCGCAGAGGGATGCGCAGGGACACGGCTCGCCGCTCTCTGGGTACCGGGGAGGGAGAAGGGGCTGCTGGGACTCCCTCACCGCCCCTCCGGAGCTGAAAACCTGGGGATGGGGACGGGAGACGGGACAGGACGGCGGGGACCCCCGGGGCAGCATCTCCTCCTGCCCCCCAGCCCGGCAGTCCCCGCCAACCCCGGCTCGGCAGTAGCTTTGCACCAGGGTTTGCCCAGGCAGGAGACAGCAACAGCCATTAACCCTTGCTTATTTATCATTTTTTTATTTTACCTCTCTCCCAGTATCCTCCCCAGCTCCTTGCTCCATCAAGCCCCACATATATGGGGGGAGGGAGAGGGTATCACACCCCAGGGTGGCAGAAGGATGGGGGGGAAGGGAGAGTTTGAGAAGAGGGAGGAGAAGGAGGACATGGGCTGGGGTGAAAAGGGACATGCTGCATCCCAGCAGCTTTGGGGTGAAGGTGGTGCCTCCAGGTTTACCAGCCTGGGGAAGGTCCCCTAGAAACGAGGAGCTTGATGAGGGGAGAAGGTGTGGGAAGGGGATGGAGGGGAGAGGGATAAGAGACCAGAAGGGAGGAGGGGAGAGCAGGGGGACTTCAGCATCCTGCCAGACTTCAGGACCTGCCCCTTGTCTTTAACCCTTCCTACTCCACGAGGAGGAAACCAGCCCCTTTCCCTGACAAAACCACCTCACTCGGGGTGTCTGCCGCCCCATCAGTGGAGAGGAACAGACTTGCCCCAAGGGGTAGAAGTAAAAATCCCAAACTGTCCTCACCCTCTGTCCCTCTTCCTCAGGGAGGGTGAGAAACACCCCATTCCTCCCCCAGGGACTCTCCAGGACACCTCCATCCCTTTCCCTTGGCCTTCTTCCCCTTTACTCCCTTCCCTTCACATCACCCAGCCCTTTTACCCCCATTTCCACACCTCCAAACCTATTTTCAAAACAAAAAAAAACACCAAAAAAAAAAAAACTTTTGGGGAAGAGAAAAAGGGAGAAAATTGTTCATTTAGGGGAGCTGAACAGCAAGCCCTGGCTGTGGCAGAGCTCGGCAAACCAGCCTCTCCTCGTCCCCAGCCAGCACTGCAGCATTGCTGGCCAAAGGCATCTGTGACATCTCCAGTTAAGCAGGGACTGGAGCAAAGGGGCAGCTGGGGCCTGAAATGCTTGTTTTTAGCCGACAGGCGGCTATGCTGGATTAGCACGGTGCATGCTCCGAATGGAAATCTCTGCCTTTCTCTCTCCAGCCTTTCGGGAGTTTGTTTGGCTGGTTTGTTTTCCTCCGAGAAGGTTTCCCTGTCTCTCCGAGCCCCCCCTCCCCTCCTCCCTCTCTCCCAGATTTCTTCTCTCTCCCCAGCTTCTCTTTCTCCAGCTCTTGCAGGTACAAGCAGGAGAGCTTCAGTGGGAACCACAGGCTGCTTGGCAAAAGGAGCCCATGCAGAGCAGTGGGTCCTGCCCCTGTGAGCCCCATGGGGGCTCAGCCATGTTTTTGGGGTTGGGGGCATTCATCTTCCTTGTCCTGTGGCTGGGGGGCTCAAGCAGAGCAAGGGGCAGCTAGCATCTCCCCTGTGGTATAGGGTAAAGAAGCTCAGCACAAGGAAAAAGTAGTAAAAAGTGCCACAGATAAAATTAAACCCATTTTAAACCCCCACTGCTGCAGAAATCTTGTCTTTGAGGGAATGGAGAACTGGGCTAGATGCAATGAAAAATTGCACTGCACCCCATTACCATGCAGTCCTAGGTAGAGAGGTCCATGAATCCCCAGACTCTTATTTAACAAGAGTTTAAACATAACCCACACCTTAAAAACATAGAGAAGAGAGGTCTGATCTCCTCGTTTCCCACTCTGTACCCTCCAGGAAGAAATGGGGTTAAACTGCAAGTAATTAAAAGAAAATAGCTTTGCCATAACGTACAGGGATCTGTGAAACTCACTGCAGCAGGAGAACACCAAAGGGCCAGAAGCCCATTTGCGGAGCAAGAGATGCTCTTGGTACATCAGGTCTCTTAAAGTATTAGTTTGGGAAGAAATGTTATAGAATCATAGAATCATCAAATGGTTTGAGTTGGAATAGACCTTAAAGATCATCGACTTCCAACCCCCCTGCCCTGGGCAAGGACACCTCCCACCAAACGAGGTTGCTCCAAGCCCCATCCAGCCTGGCCTTGAACACCTTGAAAACCTGGGGATGGGGACGGGAGACGGGACAGGACGGCGGGGACCCCCGGGGCAGCATCTCCTCCTGCCCCCCAGCCCGGCAGTCCCCGCCAACCCCGGCTCGGCAGTAGCTTTGCACCAGGGTTTGCCCAGGCAGGAGACAGCAACAGCCATTAACCCTTGCTTATTTATCATTTTTTTATTTTACCTCTCTCCCAGTATCCTCCCCAGCTCCTTGCTCCATCAAGCCCCACATATATGGGGGGAGGGAGAGGGTATCACACCCCAGGGTGGCAGAAGGATGGGGGGGAAGGGAGAGTTTGAGAAGAGGGAGGAGAAGGGGGAGGGAGAGGGTATCACACCCCCAGGGTGGCAGAAGGATGGGGGGGAAGGGAGAGTTTGAGAAGAGGGAGGAGAAGGAGGACATGGGCTGGGGTGAAAAGGGACGTGCTGCATCCCAGCAGCTTTGGAGTGAAGGTGGTGCCTCCAGGTTTAACAGCCCGGGGAAGGTCCCCTAGAAACGAGGAGCTTGATGAGGGGAGAAGGTGTGGGAAGGGGATGGAGGGGAGAGGGATAAGAGACCAGAAGGGAGGAGGGGAGAGCAGGGGGACTTCAGCATCCTGCCAGACTTCAGGACCTGCCCCTTGTCTTTAACCCTTCCTACTCCACGAGGAGGAAACCAGCCCCTTTCCCTGACAAAACCACCTCACTCGGGGTGTCTGCCGCCCCATCAGTGGAGAGGAACAGACTTGCCCCAAGGGGTAGAAGTAAAAATCCCAAGCTGACCTCACCCTCTGTCCCTCTGCCTCAGGGAGGGTGAGAAACACCCCATTCCTCCCCCAGAGACTCTCCAGGACACCTCCATCCCCTTCCCTTGGCCTTCTTCCCCTTCCCTTCCCTTCCCTTCACCTCATCCAGCCCTTTTACCCCCATTTCCACACCTCCAAACCTATTTTCAAAACAAAAAAAAACACCAAAAAAAAAAAAACTTTTGGGGAAGAGAAAAAGGGAGAAAATTGTTCATTTAGGGGAGCTGAACAGCAAGCCCTGGCTGTGGCAGAGCTCGGCAAACCAGCCTCTCCTCGTCCCCAGCCAGCACTGCAGCATTGCTGGCCAAAGGCATCTGTGACATCTCCAGTTAAGCAGGGACTGGAGCAAAGGGGCAGCTGGGGCCTGAAATGCTTGTTTTTAGCCGACAGGCGGCTATGCTGGATTAGCACGGTGCATGCTCCGAATGGAAATCTCTGCCTTTCTCTCTCCAGCCTTTCGGGAGTTTGTTTGGCTGGTTTGTTTTCCTCCGAGAAGGTTTCCCTGTCTCTCCGAGCCCCCCCTCCCCTCCTCCCTCTCTCCCAGATTTCTTCTCTCTCCCCAGCTTCTCTTTCTCCAGCTCTTGCAGGTACAAGCAGGAGAGCTTCGGTGGGAACCACAGGCTGCTTGGCAAAAGGAGCCCATGCAGAGCAGTGGGTCCTGCCCCTGTGAGCCCCATGGGGGCTCAGCCATGTTTTTGGGGTTGGGGGCATTCATCTTCCTTGTCCTGTGGCTGGGGGGCTCAAGCAGAGCAAGGGGCAGCTAGCATCTCCCCTGTGGTATAGGGTAAAGAAGCTCAGCACAAGGAAAAAGTAGTAAAAAGTGCCACAGATAAAATTAAACCCATTTTAAACCCCCACTGCTGCAGAAATCTTGTCTTTGAGGGAATGGAGAACTGGGCTAGATGCAATGAAAAATTGCACTGCACCCCATTACCATGCAGTCCTAGGTAGAGAGGTCCATGAATCCCCAGACTCTTATTTAACAAGAGTTTAAACATAACCCACACCTTAAAAACATAGAGAAGAGAGGTCTGATCTCCTCGTTTCCCACTCTGTACCCTCCAGGAAGAAATGGGGTTAAACTGCAAGTAATTAAAAGAAAATAGCTTTGCCATAACGTACAGGGATCTGTGAAACTCACTGCAGCAGGAGAACACCAAAGGGCCAGAAGCCCATTTGCGGAGCAAGAGATGCTCTTGGTACATCAGGTCTCTTAAAGTATTAGTTTGGGAAGAAATGTTATAGAATCATAGAATCATCAAATGGTTTGAGTTGGAATAGACCTTAAAGATCATCGACTTCCAACCCCCCTGCCCTGGGCAAGGACACCTCCCACCAAACGAGGTTGCTCCAAGCCCCATCCAGCCTGGCCTTGAACACCTTCAGGGATGGGGCAGCCACTTCTTTGGGCAACCTGTTCCAGTGTCTCACCACCCTCACAGTAAAGAATTTCTTCCTAATATTTAATCTAAATCTCTCCTCTTTCAGTTTAAAACCATTCCCCCCTCATCCTATTGCTCCACTCCCCGATAAACTTCTTCCCCATCTCTCCTGTAGAGTCCTTTTAGGTACTGGA